CTCTAAGTCTGTTACTTCGAAGTCCAGTCCTCATGCAGAAAGAACTCAGTTAACCCCTTCTTCACGTCTTATATCTTTTTTCAACCCTAACTAGGCCGGCTGGAATAAAATGTTTACTGTTTGTGTCTTTTGAAGATGTATCTGGTGAGTGTTTTGTTCCCGTTCCCCTCCCGCCCGGTTCCAGTTTTTAATCCTTTGTTTTGGATGGATCACCTGGCCATGGACTTTTGCGCTGTTCTGGATTCTCCTTTGGACTTCTTCTTTGGATTGTTTGCCCCGGACTCACCCCCCTGGTCACCTGCGCACTTTGGACACGCCCTCCCCGTATTAATTCCCGATTCCTGCATGACTTTTCTCCCCAGTGTTTCCTCACTTCCCTGGATTGTGTCGTCCACATAGGGTCTGGAAAGAACTGTTCCGTTACAAAGTCCTTTTCCAAGAGGGGGAAGAGGACAAGGGTGACAGATGTGTTGTGACATGTGCCATCATATAAAATTATTGACTGCTAAGGTTGGTCTCTTTTAGCATAATTACAGTAGGGTAAAAATGTAAAGCCTGCCATCAACCTCCTGATTTCTAAATTAATCCCAATAGATTAGCTGTGAACATGATACACTTTTAATTAGAAACCCATGATTATTTGTTATGTTCTGTACTATAATTAAATAAGATTAAAGTGGTTTAATTTCTCCAATGTATCTGTGTTTGAAGCATTTTGCATCAGGTCTTTCATTCAAATGGTAGTGTGTGTCTTTACCATTAGGAAACAGAACACTCTCTGAAATAATGAGTTTAATAATGAGTTTATTAGAGCTAGTATGGCCTTTGGCAAATTTATATGTTGAAACATGTTGATGTTTACTTTTTACGGTTCTAGACCTTTTTCAGGTGTAAATCACAGCTGTTCTAATATAAATATGTTTGAATATTGCATGTATTTATTACTTTATTACATAAAAGTGATGTAATATGTTCCTGGTAACTCATCCCTTTAAACCAATTTAATGAATAACATGCTATAATATCCATTTTTATTTTTACTTTTTATTATCCACTTAACCTATATTTTATTCATATACAGTAGATGTATGTGCATATGCATATGCACTTTATATGCATATAATAAAATAACATGACATCTGTAAAATGTTATATGAACATACTGATGTTCATCTGAAGTGTATAAACCAACACAGCTACAGTACTAATTATCACATTTAAGAGGATAACATACTGAAGATTATTTTTCTACAAAGAAGAATCCTCTTTTACTTCTTTCTATCATTTTTGTAGAATGCACAATAAGACCTAACAATTTTATGTAGTACAGTTTGGGTATTTATTTAAATTATATTCAGCATTTATGAAGTATGGATAAAGACCATAAGAAAGGAATATATTTCCTCCACTATTATAACTATCGGAGTCTGGTTCCAGCCTCTATTCCTGGGACACAATTCCCAGTGAATGACTTTAAAACTGGTGAGATTCATAGAAATAAAACTTTAATAAGCCAAACAGTCAGCAGGTAATTTGCATATTGCACTTTTGAGAACAACAAATAGAAAAGCTTGATTTGGAGTATAGAAAGAAAGTCAGTGAAAGAAAATGCAAACATAGGTGGACTGGCCTTAAAATATTTTGCATAATATAATCCTGTCTGCGCAGATGTATTTTGTTCCTGAGTCTCAGTATAGACATTTCGCATGTTCTATGGAACAGAAGAAATTTCTTATTCCTCACATCTTTCTAAAATCATGTTCCACTTTGTGCAAAGGCACAAAATTAATGAGTTGGTCTGCTACAGTTCCACAATAAGAAACAATTTGCACTCATGATAAAAAAAAACATTTACTTATAAATGACCGTTTTGAGCTAAAAAATGGTAAAATCAGGTTTAAAATGATATTTTTTTGGGAAGCAGTGATAAGAAAAGAAGCTTATATATATATACTGTATATAGTGTCTGCATATGCTTTTTTCATTTGTCATGTATTTGAAAGTGAGCTGTTGTAAATCTCTATAAAGGTAAACTATTTAAAAATTTAACCACTTTAAGAATTAAGAACTAAAATATTGAATATAAATAAACATTTCAAGGAAAAGTAAAAGATGAAGGTCTGTTTGAAACATTATATTTGCTGTCAATATTGTAGATTTGGCCTTGATTTTAATTTACTAACAAATGCTTATGAGAAAATGCTATATTTTTCACAACGGCCTTCTTAAACGTTTTAACTACACCACTCTTGAATGATAGGAATACAACTGACTCAACACTGGACCATTTAAATTCACACACTGTGTGTCATTCTAGACGAAATAATAAACCTCTAAATTGATCATCAGGGTATTCTGGTGTAGCGGCAAGGCTTATTAAAATACAGGAATTAAGTTTGCTGCTCCCTTGCCAGTCTCTCTCTCCTTCATCTCAGTGGTGCTGGATACAGAGAGGCCATTCCATTTGGTTCACAATTAAGGTGTTTTTCTAGCTGATAGAGTGTCCTGATAAGGAACAACTCCCAAAGCTGAGACACATCAGCCACCCTAATGAATGGTCATCTCTGGTGCCTTACTGTCTGGGAGATTCCAAGGGAGAGTCTCATCCCAAGTTGTTTACAACCCTAAGGTCAGAGTGCATTTTTACTCATCCTCAGCCAATCAGGAACTGGTAGGCCAGGTTAACCCCACGTGAGTCTCTGATGCCTCTTTGTTCTAAGAGTCGAGAACCGAGGTCGCAGGGCGTAACCAAAGGATCCACCCGAGGTTAGCCCAGCAGCAAGCCTCGTGAACCCACCGCGAATGCTCACCTGATCAACAAATGAACTACGGTCGCAACTGTGGACAGCTGAATCTCAGGATTCAGGACTAGCGTTCCATCGAGAAATGAACCGGTCTTCTTCCTGTCTAAAGAGTGTGACCTGCTTGGAGCCGCAGTCACTTTTCTCATGTGCACAAACTGTTTCTAGTGCACAAACTAGTTTCAGCTAACACTAACTAGCCGGTCTTCAGAGAGCATCAGCAGCGCACCGCAGCAGAAATCTCTCCCTCCTTCTCCCACGTCGCACGTCGAATCAGCACTGCCTAGCAAAGGGCCAGAGAGCACTGATTGGACACACCAACAGCCTGACACTGCATCTTTGTGTCCGCGGGAGATCTGAATCCACCCAGATTGGATGATTATTCAACATTCTGCATTACAGCTCGAGAATTCAATTGTTACCTCAACCCCAGTTGATATCAATTTAATTCCTATGAGTGACATACTTGCTTTTGAGTATCTAGTGTAGAAGTTGTAATCCAAGTTCATTTACGAAACGGTATAAATGAGTGGTATACTGAATGTATGTCCCTCTTGGTTTGTAACTCTTCGTGATTGTATACCCTTTTGTATTCTGCTAACCCTCACGATAAGATCTGTTATGTTTATATGCACATTTTATGTATTAATAAATGTATTCTCGTGTATTAGTACCCGTGTGTGTGCGTTGCTGAGTATCCCGCTGGGTCGGTCTTCTAATAGCCATCAAAGAATCATTTTGTGACTTACTGCTACAATTAATAACTGTCCCAGTAAATGGACAAAACCCCTACATTTATTGGTGCCTCGTGAGAGGATGCCTACACTGGACAATTAGGATGAGAAACATTTAATCATTTAGGATATTATATTATTTATAGATTATGTATCTGTTTAAATTACGAGCATTCCATGCACTTGTACTGCACACACAGTGATCTACCTTGAAGATAAGTGGAGTATCATTTCAGGAGAGTAGAAAACTAGCTCAACCCAGCTGTGCCTGAAAACAAGACTACTGTATAACAAGGTCTCGGTCTACATATACAGCATGTTTGGATATCAGGTGCAGGAGGACGACCTGTACAGGTTTTAAAAGGATCAATATCACCATTTTGTGCTCTGTCACGGTCACCTGGATGGCAACTGAACGCCCGTGATATGGTCACTGAAAAGTAAACACCCACTTCTGTACAGCACGCATGCAAACACAATAACTACAAAGGTTACACAGCTTGTGTAACGTGACTGACACCAAAGTAACAAAAGGGGCTTTATCAAACAGACCAAATAGAAATATAAAGGCAAATTGGAGCATATTGGCTGCTTGGGTCAACAGGGGTTACAGTAATACATTGTGCTATAATAATGAAGCTGTAGGACCTGCCCATACTGCAGATTAATCTTGATGCGACAGCATTCCAGGACCTCAACACCATCCTCAGGCTGATAGTTTAACAGCCCCATTGATCACCTGTGGGACAAGCAGAGATGGCATCCAGGGTTCAGCGACCAGTGAAAAGACACATGCTTGTCCAGGCCATGATCTTTCCAGGGCAAATTCAACAAGACAGCATCTGTAACTTGATGCAAAGCATTGAAGATTTCATGCATTTTTCCATTGCTTCCAACAATGGTGATGCATGTTACTAGCCTGTAAATTCACAGTACACACCCAGTTGAATCACACTTGTTGACTGCAAATGTTAATCTCTATAATGAATTTACTTAAAGCTTATCTGTTCAATGAAATGTCAGTGTTCCTGCTAAAAAAAGACATTTTACTGATAAAAGCCTTGTGAATTTCTTATATATTGAAGGAATATGTTTCTTTTGACAATCAGGAGTAATTCTTTTGATAGGAAAAGTACTGTAAATGTATATGTTTGTATATATACAGCTTCTAAATGAAACACATTTTCTGTCATAAATGATGAACATTTACAGCATTTCCCTGCCACAACAGTGCAAAAGACAGCACTCTTTTGGGCTATTCATAGCATGAATGGTTTTGAAGATTACATTTTATGCCATGGCTTAATTTATGGTCACAGAAGATGAAAAGACAACAGGAGCTCTACAGCTTGTTAGAAGTTGGATATATATATATATGAATAGTACATCACTTTATTGTAGAACTTTAGAATGTTAATGTGATCAGAAGAAAACATGAGAAAATCAAGACACAATTATCTTATTGTTTTATTTTGGCTTGAGTAATGAAACATAACACAGGCAAGACAACACTAAGGTGAAAACCATCCACAAAATATCTAAAGAAGCATGCATTTGTTCTTTTATCATTTGCATTTCCTTTATTACTTTCACAACTGGAAGAGGATTCTTTGTTCAATGCTATAATTGTATTCAAGATGAGATCAAACACTTACTGTACCATACCATCAGCAAAATTAATCAGTTATAGTTCTTGAGCGCTGAATTTTAGAACATGAGAAAAACTAAGCTCATGGCTTCTTTCAGAAACCTGATTTTAAAGCCTTTGTTTGATGATGTTTACAGTTAATTGCTATATTTTTTCTTATGCAACACTTGAACAAGAGACAGTGTAGAAGTTTGAGGCTCTTGATTTGTAACTACTAAGTTGTAGGTCCACAGCTGTTGTAGCTTTGTGCAAAGTCAGACCGCTCCAGTAAAATACTCAGGTGTATACAGTACATGTACATTGGATGGGTATAAAGGCAAGTCCCTTTGAATAAAAACAAATCTAGTCAAATAATTAACATTGAATAAATCTGGATAATTCTTACAAAAGTGATTAAATTTTCTGAAATCTCAACAGTCATAATAAAAATGAAATTATTTAAGGAAATGGCGATATGTAGTTGTGTCACAAAATTATCTGGTTATTCCCCATAAGTACTGTATATCTTAAAAAGTATAGTAGGCAAAAGATTTGCCTGCCATCTGGAAATATTGCTGAAAACGATCTGAACCCATCTGTAAATCAATACTGTTACATTCAATTATAGAAATGATTAATGCTTATTTTCAGTGTTTCTCTGTAAAAGCAATGAAAAGGCCTCCTGCATACTGCATTCTGCATTCCTCATCACAATTTCTTTCCCTCAAGAATCTTTTCAGTTCTCATTACATGAATGCCATAACAGTAACATGCTTCATGTTTTATACATTTCTGTGTAAAAATAATAAGAGGCATTAAAAATTTAATAGATGCTACGAGTTTCAATGCTCATCTTGTTGTGAATTTAATGCCTCTCAGTGTGTATACAGTACATACAATTCGAATGATTTTATGAACCTGCTTTTTGACAGTAAAAATTCATTCACATACAGCTTGTCAAAATTAGTGGTGTTTTGGTAGATGATCACAAAGCTATCCCACAGCAGCTGTAGAGAATTTGAAAGGAGGGAAACACCAGAGTATCAGCATCCTATCCATTGGCAAAAGCTGTTAGGAACCTGCACATCAATATTCAGTTCTGCACATGTGCTGCAAAACTATGGCAAGAAAAGGAGAACCTGTCAAATATACAACATTAAACTGCCACTCCTTGCTGCTTTCTTCGAGTTTGAATCTAGAACAGAAAGAAAACAACACTCTTGTATTATTTTTTAAGAATAAAAATGAAAACTCCCTTTTGAAGTAGGCTTGAGGTGGAGCCTTGCTGTGTCAACGATTACTGCTGCATCCTGTGTCTTGATTTAACAAACGAGAGTTTTTATAGAGGTTTTTAAAAGCTTTTTTTCTACCTTTTGTCAAAGTGAGCTTGTTCAAATGATTGATCCTTCCTGTCAAAATCCCATCCCTGTCAAATCTCCAAAGGGACTGCCTCAAGAATAAAGGAAACTGCAGGTGCCTCAGGCATTTTTCAGACTAGCATGTTCAATTCAGTAAAGGTATCATTACCTGATTTCTTATTGTTAACATCTGGGATCACATTAAGGGAAAAAACTAAAACTGAAACCTGTTGACCCCTGGAAGATGGGTCCTCACTCTCAGGGATATGTTTCTAGCCTTCCTCCACAGAAATGAGCATGTAAACATAAGCACACACACTCTCATGCATGCAATTAAACAACACATCAATACTTGGCTTCATAGAAAGTCACCATAAAACATATCTGTGAAAGAGCATGCAGGGGAGCTTTGGAGTTCTTGGTATTCTCAGGCAAATTCCCACCCATTACCCAAATCGGCCAGCTCTGCCAGAGTAAAATCTTTCTAGCCTGAGTAATCCTTCAATTTTCCTGCATCACAACCACCATGATGAAACAGAGTTTACACGTACACACTCTCACTGCAGGATTACAGAGGTCTTCAGAGGTCTGATGTTCTAAATGCTATTTAATAAGTTTGTTGCTAAGCTCCTAAAGCTTCACACCAGGGTGAAATCTAAGCTACAAGCATAGTCTAATAAATGTGATTCCAAGCAAGATCTATTAAAAATGCTAAACGGCGTGTTTTAAAAAAATATTTTATTGTATGCCTATTTTTTTAATGTGTTCTTTGTTTTAAAATGTGATTCTATTACATAATGCTATTTTAGAATATTACATCTATTCATTTAAATTAATTTTTCTGCTTGTGGCTCTCAGCCAAATAGTACTGAAGACTCAATTACACTTTACAATTCCACTCTTGGTGCAATTTTACATTATGAACTTACCACCCACACGGCAGGAATACACCTGTCTGAAGCATATCAAGGAATAATAAAATCAGGAGTGTGTACAGGTGCTACACATATGTATATATTTATATACTGTACCTGTTTGTATAATAATCTGTATATACAAACATAGGTACAGATGTAAAAGCATAATAAAAACATATGTAACCTGGTCTGGTGTTTTCACTCTTGTTAATGAATGAGATTACTGTTTTGAATTTGTTCCAGCAGATTTCCTTCCTCCATATACTGTATATAAATAATGAAAAATGTAGAAATATCCAAAAAGTCTGCACAAGGTTTTAATTTTTCATGAAGCATTAACTTCTGACAGCAGGTCACACATTTGTGCACATTATCCAGCATGATGGATCTTAATCTAAACACAGAAAATTCCCAAGGACACTCATTTCAAGAGTCAAAAGGTTTCTTGAAGTTAGATTTCTTGCTGCTGAACAGTAGCGTTGTCTTCCCTTATTTTGCCTTTCTGTGTTAATAAAAATAAAAATAACAACAATAATAGTAATAATTCTTACAGTTATATAGCGTGCTACACTCAAAGCACTTTACAGGTAATGGGGATCCCCTCCACCACCACAAGTGTGCAGCCTCATCTGCATGATGCAATGGCAGTGATAGTGCACACTCATAGCTAACAG